GTTACTTGATTCTGCTATAAAATGACACTATGTGGCTGGAAGTCACATAATACTTCCCCTTTAAGACTTTTTAAGGATGCGTGGACACTCTGATACAGGTTGCATATTTGTGGGGGCTTGTGGTGACAGAAGTTGCGTGTGGTTGACGTGAAGGAGAAGCAGCAATGGAGTGGAGGAGGCAGATTCCAACAGCAGGAGTATAGAAGAGGACTGAGCAGGGCTGGTTGATTTGGGTGTTGGGTGGTGATTTACCTGGTCAGAGAGCATCTGAACCTCTTCCAGGATGGAGCTGACAGGTCGGCTCCTCTCTCTACCTCTGGTGAAGGGAACAATGCAGTAACTGCACATGTTGTCACAGCCTCGCATGATGGAGCTGTCGGCAACAAAACAGGAAGAAAAAAAACGTTAAGAACTGATTCGGGTGGTCAGTTCTGACAAAATAGAGAAGCAACATACACAAAAGCACTGCGGCCCTGACTGGCATGCTGGACGGGCATGATGTCTGCGTAGGTCTCCTCCAGAGACAGCAGCACGTTGCTCGCCTGCTGACCTCCAGCGGCGGCGGCAAGAAGTCGAGGAAGGTCCCTGTAGGCGTCAGGGCCAGCCAGGACGTCCACCAGCTTCTCCCGCTCCAACAGCTCAGTCTTCAGCCTCTCAGCCATGCAGCCTGGACAAACACAGCTGTCTGAATACTACTGCAACATCGGAGAGTCGAACAGATGTGTACATTATGTTACCTAAAATCCCTATTTTCATTGGCGAGTTGGTCTTTAATCGTTTCTTCTTCATGGCCGTCAGTTGTTGGAGTCTGTTCCAAATGGTTTGTTCGGCCTTTTCTCTAGAGAAAGAGTTTCGTCGCTTCTGTTAATCTGACCATGAAGTCATATATTTGTACAAGAGGAACAAATAAAGAGCTTTTCAAAATAGAGTACAGTGGACCCCAAGTTTGTGGTTCAGCGATTACAGAAGTTTCTGTGGAAAGCAACATCAAATTACTGGTAGAAAATTTGCCTGCTTGCATTTTTGTTCATTGAGTTTATCTAAAAACATGTAAAGAAAATACAGCTTAGGAATCTGAAACGCCCAGACATAATGCTAGTTGACGCGCCATTTCTGGACGTTTGCGAAGCAGCCAATCCAGGAATGCCATTTATTTCCCTTAACGCTAATTGTCTGTACGAAGGGAAGACTGTTGGTGTTAGCTTCTGTGGCAGAGCTAAGGCAGTTTCCACCATACAGACTAATGCATATTGAGGTAAATTTGGTGTCAAAATGTAACTGTTGGTTAGTTTTTTTTTACTGGCCAATTAAGAAAACTGGATTGGATTCCTGGATTGTAGCTGAACTTTCACTGAAAGAACCAGCTTTCCACTGCAAACGCAATCAAGGAAACAACTCTAACTACTGAACAGAAAACAATGTGAACTGAAAAGACATTTCAATGACTAAAATGATTAACTGAAACACTGAATTCAACAGCACAAGGGTTTACATATTTACATTATGCCAGCTTGTTATTAATATTTTTGCTAAAATGTATTTTATTTTAATAAACTATTGTTTATTAAAACAATAGTTATTCTTGTTCATTTCCTGCCAGAGGCAGGAAATGAGCAAGAATTTGCTGTTGGAATTTCAGTTCGCATTCACCTTAGTTTCTATTGTATTCCTTTTGAACCTGGCAACTGGACAATACTTGTGACTTATTGTAGACGACTTAACATGAGTTTTAGGTTATAAAAACTATGGAAATGGGCGTTTTTCGTGGTCTCAAGTATTTGCGGATTTTAGCAATTTGAGGGCCGCTGTGGTCCATGACTCCTGCAAATACTAGGGGTCCACTATATGTACCTGAAGGAGCTCACCTTATAGAGCAGGTCACCAGGAGGACAACATCTGCCTAGAAGAGACAAAAAAATAGCACTAACTAAACAGGGTTAAAAAGTGAAAAACATTGTGTTCTGTCTCCACTCTGACATTCATGTCCACTCCTTATTGGTTTGTGTCTGGCATTTATCTCACACACACACAGGGACAGCTATTTCTGAAAACATGTTCCTTTAGAGTCTCAATGCTCTAAACTTTAGAGCATTGAGATTCTAAAGTCTCAATGCTCTTTAGACTCTAAAAAGCATTGAGACTTTAGACTCTAATCTTAGAGTCTAAAGAAAGATTGTTAAATTGTTATAACATTGTTATTGCCTTGTGTAGCTAGTTAGCAACATCACTGAGAAAAGCTATCAAAAACTATTGGTATTCTGAGTCTGACTAACATCAGGGCATCAGGTGTCCCGCTACAACGTATTTTAACCTTTTTGTCCTGCATTTTGATTGGTTTAGACAGCATGACCGACACCTGCTGATGTCTGGGTTGAGTCATTTATCCAGCCACCGTCAAGTTATTGATATCGATTTGCTGCTGTTGAACACAAACCTTGTATCTCCAAAAAATTTAACTTTTCATGAAATGAACGAAACAACTTCCTCCTATATAAACTCATGCTGTTTGATCAAAGTAACAAGGAAACCTCAGAACCATGTGAAGGATGATTGGTAAAGTTGATTTTCAAAAGAAAAAAGCAAATGACAGAGATTTGAGGGTTTTTTCCCCTGCAGGAACAATGTATAAAATGCTTTATGTACCAAACTGTGCATATGTGGGATGAAGCTCTGCTTTTAAACAGCCACCTCTTTTAACAATTTCTTACCAGGAAATTAGAACAACTGTGTAATCATAAGCTAGCTATGCTTCTCTGGAAGTTTGTTTCATGGAAAGACTTAGAACTTAATAATAAATACCTGATTCAAATCAGCTGCCCGTTGATAGCCTTTCTTCTGCAGTATGGACCAGGCTATTTCTGTGTCATTTACATTCATCTGGCATCCATAAGTTTCAAAATACACTGAAATGAGGTAAGCAGTCATTACACACACACTCCAAAACCATTGAATGTAAAGCTGGTGGAAGCTGTCAGTCGTGCACACGCCACCAACCTTTCCTTGCGTCCCCAAGCAGCCCCAAGTCCTCAGAAAGATAATGTTCGTCGGTGTGTTCGCAATTTACAGCCAGAGTCACTGGAGATTTAATAAAGTCCTGAAGACGCGGGCCGGAAGCTACCTGTCTCCTGAAGCTGTCAGAGACAACTTTCTTCTTCTCTGCTGAGCTGGGTCTGGCTGCATCTGAACAGTTTCTGGGTTTGGAGAGCCACCTGAGAGGAGCCCAGTGTTTGGAGACGCAAAGGAAGGGCTTTACAGTCCTCATGCTTGTTTAAGAGCTTCCTGTGCAATAAAACTCAGAGCTTTAAATTTATTCAGCAACATGTAGAGCTACTATCCACCACTTGTAACTCCTGTGTCATAAGTTACAAAAATAAAGGGGTGAAACAATCTGAGTAAATGTCATACAGGTTCCCGACGTAACGTGCAACCGAAGATGTTTCCAAGCAAGAGGAGTCACCTTCTGTTCCAGACAAACGGCGTCACAATACTGTTTACCAGTCTAAACTATAAAATGCCACCGTACGATAATAACAGTGGCCACTGTGAAACGGTGACGCAAATTCTACACTTTAAGGTACAAGCAGAATGTTGATAAATAGGTTTTGCCTATATTCATCTACAAGAGTACAAAAAAGATGGCAACTATTGTTATTGGCAAACAAGAGGAAATTGGTCGGCTTAATGCATATTTTTTTAAAACGTTATCAAATATGGACAATTTTCTGAAGAATGGAAGGACAAAATTCCAACTGGTTTGGAGTGTTCTAGGTTTTGTAACAACAACCTGTGACGATGACATAGAGGAAGACGGAGAATCCTCTTGCATCCTGCGAACTGATCCGACCTGCAGTACGTCTGTATTTGCAGTCCGTCTCTAAAATGTCCCACTAAACAAGGTTCCTGACAACTTAAGGGGGAATTTAACTGAAGCTGTCTTTTATTTAGATTAATTTCATATCCCCGAAAATTGACCTAAAGTTTTGCAATTACACTATACTTATTTAGCTACACTATTTACTTATATGAATTCATTACGGTTCCTGTCATTTTTGGTCATATTCTTGTTTATATCACCTGTCGGAATAAATGCTTTTTCACAGTGTTTTTGTAATGGACAGTTGTTTTATCTGTAAGAATGGTAAGGGTGCTGCCTCAATATTATGGTCATACTTTTATCAACTATGTCTTTAAAAACTGCTGAGTTCAAATGACCCAGCAGCCAGAATAGAGAATTTTGTTCTTTGTTCTGCAAAAACAAGAGCAGTTCTTTCCAGCTTGGACCCACCTTACTGTGCAAAAACTTAAATACAGAATTCACTGGTCTCTCCCACTGCAGCTCACAACCTTCATATTTCGGAGGGGGAAGAGAGGTGGGGAGGGGGAAATCCCGTAGGTGATACCTTTATTTTCCAACCACATATATGGGTCAAAGATTAACAGAACCAGCAGAGGGTTCATTTATTCCAACTGAACTGGGTTAAGCATTTGACCTGGCAGTCTGGGTTAGGTTTTATAACAACAAAGATGGGTTAAATTACGGTCAAACAAGAAAGCTACCAAGCAGCATGCTGACAGGAGTAACACATAGTCATGTCAACCAAGAGGTTGGTCTCTATTTTTCTCACATATTTGCAGTGTTCCCTGCATGACTTGTGACAAACGGGAAACATGGCTTCCTATGTTTTATCGCTCAACAATGGATTTCTTCTGACCACTCTTCAAAAAAAGGCCAGACTTGTAGAGAACACCACCAATATTTATCAACACACTGCCCACCTGAGCCAAGAGTCTCTGCAGCACCTCCAAAGTTTACTGTAGGCATTTTGGCTACTTCTCTGGCTAATGTTCTCATTTCCTGGCCTTAGGTAAACAGTCTTGCCTTGGAAGGTTTCCAGTTTATCTATTGAAGAATAGATAAACTGGAATGCTCTGAGATTTTCAAAGCTTGGACTGATTGCTTCATGAGCTGTAAAGAGCAGTACATAGTAAAATCAGCTGTTTTTTTAGCTTTACGTTATGTTATTATGTTATTCATTCATCAACATACTTGGAGAGTTGTTTTGATTCTTTGATGCATGTTTGAGAAATCCTTTAATTTCCTGTGGCAACCATTTAATTGTGCAAAATCAGTGGGTGGACCTATCTCTGCCTACAAGGCACAGCTCCTTTTCAGAGTCACAGATTCTAAGATCTTTCAGACTAGCCAGCAGCAATGAGCAACACCTGGTGGAACTGATGCATCTGCTGAGCTCATTATAGGATCTACTTCTCAGAGCAACGATGGTAAAAAATATTGTTAAAGGGTTAATAGAGGAGCCATGTTGTGATGACTTCCTGAAGGCAGAGTTTCAGAAAGAGCAGGAGCTTCTTAAAGAGACAGAACTCAATTTTAAGGTGTTAAGTTACAAAGTCAAATTTCTTTTAAGCCATTTTTGATATTTGTAGCATTTTTATAACAACGAAAGTAACCTCGTTATTTCATTGCACCATAAAATGCTGCTCTATGCCTCGAAAATACATTATACTGCCCCTTTAACCCTGATGTGTGTGATGTGTTCCTTGGTCTTCATGTTTTCTTCACTTATGTTCTCTCACAAACCTCTCATGCCCTGGTGGCCATTCCTTACTTCTTATTGGTTAACCTGGACTTGAGTTCACAGTTTCAGAGCAAAAGGAGATCAGTTTGTTCATACAACCCATTTAAAGTTTTATTTGCAAAGATTTTGAAATCCATACATAATTTCCTTTCCACTTTACAGTTTTGAACCTTCTGGAGTCCTGTCACATAAATCCTAATATATCACATTAAAGTTTGTTTTTGCAATGAAACAAAGCAAGTCGAGGTAAATCAAATCTGCTGGTTGGAATGATCCCGTCCTTCCCAGGAATGACACCAAACGTAGGTTGTCCTCACAGTTTTAAATAATAATTATTATTAACAATGTAATTTTTAATAATGACTAACAAAAGACAATATTACTAACTTTATTTATAGAGAATACATTAGATAAAGCAAAAGAACCCAATCAGTGATGGCTCCCACTCTTCAGTTAATCCTCAACTTCTGTAGAGAATCAGTATTTAAGTTAGTTTCAACAACAACATATCACTGAGGGAGGATTTAGATTTTAAAGCCTGAGGTATTTCTTCACCTGGGCCTCATGACGTTCCCCCGCCCTCCTCTGTACCTCTGATCGCTCTGGATGGATGTGAGATCTTCTTTAAACGTCCCCTCATAGATGTCTGACTGACGTTTCATGTAGCTCTCACTTTCATCTCTGCAAAGGAGCACATTGATGGCCACAATAGGAGTTTGACAATGAAGCTCTGCAGTGACTAACACGCTCTGCACACAGACACCCCTGCCTACCCGAGCCGTTTGCCCATGATGGTCTGAAGGAACTTCCTGGCAGAGATCTGGCCCAAGACCTTCCTGTAACTGTTGGTAAAGATGGCGTCAGCGTGACGTTCAGAGCTAAAGATCAGAGAAGGGGGAAGCTGAAATCAGTTTGCTTTAATGGACAATGATTTTCTTAGCTTTACTTTACAAATGCATCAGTGAGTGTAACTTCGGTTTGATTTGCCCACAATTTGAGATTTTCCAGACACATTTTCTTAGTCTTCACCAAATCTGGCCAAACATAACAGCCATACGCACCGCAGTTCCTCTCCGTCCCTCAGAGGGATCCTGTCTTCGTCCTGCTGTTCTGCCGGATTCTTCAGGGAAGAGGTCATGAGGATGGACGTGTCCCTTTGGCCAAACCTGTCAGACATCACCATATTCTTCCTGAATGTCTGATACTGAATTCCAAACACGCCCTTCCTTATTAAATGTCATTTTCATGTTAGATGCTAAACCGTGCTTGGGGTTTACAAAATGCTCTTGTCCTTGTCAAATGACATGTTCTGCTGCCTGAGCGCTGGACAACATGATTAAGATGCTAGTGGAACAACGTAACTACAGTGACTAATTCAGACATCTTGACCCTTCTTTGCATAACAAGAGCAGAGGACAAAGGCATGACAGGCAAAGTAAGTGGTGAAAAGTTCAAAACAACATTTGCATTAGGCATGAATGTAGACTTGTCTATTTTATCCTTTTTCTTTTTTAACCTGGTTGAAAACTGTTGGATATCTATAGGTTACCGTTTGTAAAGTTACACAGTCAAAGTTTGGAGCAATAAATTGTGTTACTGTTCCTGCAGTAAAATAATTTAAAAACAATCATATTTTCATGTTTAAGTATCACAGTTTCAAACTAATTAGCACAGTAATTTTACAAACTAAATATTTAGCTTCAAACTAAATAGTTAGCACGCTAAATATTTAACTTCAGACTGAACAGTTAACTCAGACGTAGGTATTTAGTTCGAAGTTGTGACATTTATACAATAATAATAAACATGGGCATAATATGACTTTGAAAAATGCTCCCCATTTTTTTTTCTTATATTAGTTTTTGACTAACTTTACAAATGACACCTCATAAATATCTTTGTTGTTGGAGTTTTATTGACTCAAACAAATGAGATATTAAATTGTTTAGAATTTATGTTACTCCATAAAAAGTATTCATTTAAAATCATTTAAATCATATTAGTTTGTAAGCATATTGTTTAGTAATGTTTCAATAAACATCAATGAAGATATTACTTCAGTCAGTTATTCTCATTTGTTGTAGTGACCAAACAGAAACATTAATTCAATTCAATCCAAAAAGACTTTATTGATTTGAATAAGAAATTAAATATAAATTCTCTAATTTGTGGTTGACAAGGTTACTATGTTGGAGCAAGAATTTACATTTGTTCCCAGCTTTAACTAGTTTGGATACAGTGCTAATCCTAAAGACAAACTTGCTAGCGAGGAAGTTTGGAGCTAGTGAGCAAATTTTACTCTATTAATCCCAAGGTGTTGTTGCAACTTAGCTACAGTGGTGACGGAAAATGTTTACATGCCACCTTATCAGAATAGATGTTTTTTTTTTATTTTATTTTTTATTTGTACTATTTTAGTAATCCATTAATTTTTTGCGGAAAGTCTGGGTGAAGAGAGGATTTGAGGCACCAACTTATCGCCACCAGGTGGCGCCCAAACAAGTAAAATGGGTGAAATGGGGACATCTGGTGGAGGAGCTTATATGGTAGATATTCAGCTCAACTGTGGATGTTAGGGATATGAAATCTGTGTGTTGCACTCTGCCTCTTTTCTGTCTGTGGGCTTCATAGACAAGGATACCAAAGCAGTCTGGGAGAGGAGGGAGTTTGGTTTGGGAATCTCAGGATCTCATTTGCTTCTTGGAGAGGACGTGGTTCTGTTGGTGTCTTCCATCAATGACCGTGGTGGATGTCTCACTCCAGACTGGTGAGGGTCAGTGTTTGCTCCAGACCGGCAAGCTGATTCTTCATGAGTGATGGAAGGGTAGACCAGTAGATGGATAAACAGACTGAGGCATCTTCTGTAGAAATGCGGTTGTTGCTCCGGTCTTTTCGAAAGTACTGAGAGCTTGATCACAAGCAGCTGAAGTCAGCTTCCTACAGAACCTTTGAGGGTTCTACAGGCGGGTCCTGGGGAACAACAGGGCAGAGCAAGAGCCTGCTGCAGAGACCTACGTTTTCTGGCTTAGTGACGCTGTCCAATCGTCCAGATTGACCAACAGTGTTGCTGGGTAGAGGCATGTTGGGATTTACCTCCTGAACCTATTGCCCAATTGCCAATAAGTGATAGGTGGATACATATTGAGAAACATATGCCTTAATTACAAAAACATCCTTTAAAAAATTTAAGTTAAAAAGAAGATGTGGAAAATAATGTAAAAAAAAATTCTACAGCTTAATTCAGGTGTATACATCTTTAAAAAATTTGAACTGTAC